CTACCTTGGGTGTCAACTGAGTATTTCCGCTATCTACAGTAAATATTAACATCCTGAATGTAGTACTGCAAAGCTTTTTTTACAAATAAAAATAACGTTATAGCAAAGCTTTAGGCCAAGAATCAGATGGTAAATCTGTCATTTAGCAATGTACAGTATAATTGAAATAATACATATTGTATAAAGCCACTGCATATATTGCATTTTATTACAACATTTACCCTAAGCTGATTCAGTTTCAGATGTCTCTCACCTTTGAAAAATTTATCTTATGTATCGGATTTATAATTGGCAACCTTTGCAACAAAAGGTGAGCAAATATTTTCCCTGTGGCATTGGTGAGTATTTGGAAGCCCCTAGGACATACGTGGTCCACTTTACAACTCACACTTTATAACTCAAAAACACCTTTATTTCCAATAAAAGACATTTTGATGAAAAAGTCATGCAATTTGTCATCTGTCGTTCCTACATGAAATTTCTGTAAGGAAAGTACTTTATTTGCTGGGTTGTGTAACTTCTGAATGCAGTACAGAAAACCCTGGGTTTAGCAGACTAATAGGAAAGGGAGTCTGTTACTAAATGTCTGCTGAATCACTAATGACAGTTGTTCAGCCTAAAAACTCTTTTATAAAGGAAATATATATCCGTTCTGGAACTTTTTTCTTATTTAGCAACTGCAGTCAACACAGTCAATGAAAACTGTCCCTATGCCTTTTCACTGACTAAAGCAAACGAAAAACAACATCCACCTCAAACAACTGACCTATCCCTAGTGGGCACCATTGATGTTATTGAATTTATTGGAACAAGCCTGAGAATTTATTGTTATTGGAACAAGCCTGAGAGTGGAGCTGTCACCTCTCGTCAGCTGTATATTGCAGAATGAAAGGCTTCCTTGGCATCTGGAAGGCAGGTGGTGCATTATGAGTGGGTAGTCTTTATGAGATGAAACACTACTTTTATGCTTTTGATGAAAATGCTGTCAGAACATTAAAAAATCACAAATTAGAGGAAGCCATTTTGAAGCCAGTAGTTAATCCGTGGAGTTCATTAGCCCTTTCTCGAACGACGCCTGGGTATCGACTTCAATAACATGGCTGGGTAGCTTGTTCCAGTCTCCCACCACCCGTTGTGTAAAGGTTTTAAAGAAACTTCCATGCAGTTTCCACTAGTGCCCTCTGGTTTGTGTTTCCAGAGTTGAACTGTCTAGTAGCTGAATTAGATTGCATATTTTTTGTTTGTTTTTTGACTTGCAGGTGATTTTTTGAGCTGCTGACCACTTCAGTTTTGTGAGTTTCGTTCAAATAATTTTTCAGAATGAAGTGAAACTGTTTTTGGCTCATAGCGATCCAGATGATTTGTTGATTATGGCAGCAGCTATAATATTGAGTAACTGCAATTCTGCAAACGCGGTAGTAATCTGTGATGCTTTAAGACAGTGCTCTATTCATAAAACTTTAACTATTATGCTAAACTGACATCTGCTTTTTTTCTAATAAGGGAGTCAAAAACTTTGTAAAGTGAGATCTAAAAGGACAGTGATTTGAGTTGCTGAAAAATGTTTTTGGCTAAAATTGTGAGTTTGTGTTTTTTATTTGACAATACCAGTGGTCAAACATACCTGACATAAACATTTGATTAATACAGCCCTTAATAAACACAATGTCTCATGTGGCTTCACCAGTTGTTTAAATTTGTCACCGATAGGAAACCTGATACTGACCCCAACTTTTCAATTAGTAAGATTATAGGAATGTTAATACTGTAGTATAAGCAGCATAATTATTTTAGGAATGCACATAGCTGACTGAATGAAAATTGTGTTGGGAGTCAGTGGATTTAATGTTCTTGGAGCTTTGGATAGAAACAGGTAAATGCCAGAGGCAAGTGTGCAACTTAATTATTAATACTAATTAATAAAAAATACTGTTAATAAAACACTATCTAAATGATATAGGTTACATATGTCGTGCAGTCTGACTAGTGACAATAAGCATTCATAAGCTTGCTGCATTTTTTACCAGCCACTTGTTGAACAGCGTGAGTGTTCAGGGAGCTCAGAAGAGATATCATTGTCCAATATGTGTAATTTATTTATTGCACTTCAAAGAATGTTGGAAAAAAGGTGTTAGTTTTATGTGGGACTGTAGCAGACTACAGTTTTGTCTAATCATAGAGGAGGGTTTTTTAAGGACTGCTGTGAGTTCAGCAAGGAAAGTGATAGGAGGAAGTTCTCATTTTAAGATCTGCAGTCGGCTGAAACAAGACGGTGAACTGTTTTGTTGCTGCAGTTTCTTTGTTGCGTTGTAAACAAATCAGTCGCCACCATTAACATGACTGTATGGTATGTACGTTTACGCCCTGCTCTTCCAAAACCAGGGTCTTTCAGGCTAACGTGCAGGAAAACGTTTTAAATTCTTAACGCTTAAATTTTAAACCCTTTACTTCTTGCAAAAATCCCGACTTCCTAAGGGGCCGTATCCACCGAAGGTAATGAAAGTTCCGGGTGGCCCGCAGCTCCTTAAAGGCTCCCGGGGTGAGCCCATCAATAAAAAGGAGAGGCTGACGCCAAAAATGAACCCGGAACGGCCCGGCGGACGTGTCCCCCTGAAGAGCCTGGAGCACAGGGTGCGTGAGGCCGGGCGGCGGCGGACACGCAGCGGGCCGGCGCTGCTCGCTCGCGGGGAAGAGGTCCGTCAGCTCCGGGGAGGGGCCCCACCTTGGACCCGCAACGCCAGGATCGACTGGGGACCCTTTTGTAAAACGTTTATTAAATGCATAAAGAATTTACAAATACAACTAGAGGAGCAGAAACTGCCAGAGATAATGAAATTTATTATTACATATATCGAATGTTATCTTGCTTTTTGCACTTTTCAATTTTTTTTTAAATAGAATTAAAATAAACGGTTCAACTCCATCTTAAAAGTACTACAAAAGGAAGTATTACTGGACCATTTTAATTTATGAATGTGAAATTTACCCAGAATTACTAATTTACTATAAATGCTTCTTTTCCAAATTTTCTCTTGGTACAACAAAATATCAAAAACCGTTAAATGCCTACAAACAAAACTCTGCAAGCCCATCCAATACAACTTCACAGATATACACCTTACAAATAAATGTACCAAAAAAAAAAACCCTTTCACCCCGACAAAAAACACATCGACTGGGGACCCGGGTCAGGGAAGATTGTGCCGTCGTGCCGCAGAAAATATTCGTCGAGAAGCTCCTTCGAACATTCAGAAAGTGCTGAGGCGCGCAAAAAGAACATCGTTCAAGCGCACTGATGATGTCCTACTGCACGCAAGCATGTGTCCAGGTTAGGCGTTTGAACCATACTGAGGAATTTAAATGAAGTCACATATGGATGTTTTATGAAAAACTGTTCAATAAAGGTTCTGGGCGTCAGCACTTTTATCATTCAGTTTTCGTTTTGTCTATGAATTTTCATGTTTGTGCTTTTAAAACATTTTTTTTTAATTTATTTGGAAGATTGTCATCTGAGTTCGTGTAAAGGTTCGTGAACATTTGGTAAACGTTTCCTTCGAATCCGTAACTGAATTTCATGATCATGTGAGCTACATGACCTGGTTGCTCTCTTTTTTTTAAACTTGGTGGACAAGTAAAGAAGTTATCATGAATTGTCATGCTTCGTGAACTACTTAAGAAATTTGTTCTTGATTAATGATTGTGTTACTTTTGCAACAGCGTGAATTGGTCTATGACGACTTTGACTACTACTGTACATTATATCCTCATGTGCACTGAATGTACCTCTTATTTGCTTTGGTACAGTAGCTCACTTATTTGTCTGATGGTTTTATCCAAAGCGACTTAAGTTTGTTCCTGTGTATTTTACTTGAATCTTTCAGGTGAAGTACTATGGTCAAGCGTACGTAGTAAAATCCTAGATTTTCATACAGTTTCGTTGTGTGTGCACATGCTGTGTTGGACCTGTGACCCGTGCAGAGTGTAGTCCCACATCATGATATGAACATAAGAAAGTTAACAAATCAGAGGAGGCTATTCGGCACATCTGGACTGTTCAGTAGTTCCTGTAGTAGCATATTGATCAGATGATCTCGTCCAGCTGTTTTTTTGAAAGAATCCAGGGGTATTGGCTTCGTCAGCATGGCAGTTAAATTTAAGAAACTGAAAATAAAATAAACCTCCAGGCTAAATTGTGAGTAATGTCCAATATTGAATTGTGTTAGAAAATGAGTGAATGATGAGGTAGAACTTCCCAGGATTTAGTGGGTGAAGGGAATCTGAGATCAGGGCTCTAGGATCCGATCTGGAAGGTTGTGGGTTCGACTTTCAGGTCAGACGCCACTGATGTATCCTTGAACAAGGACCTTCACCTGAATTGGTCTACTTCAGGGGTTCCCGACCTTTTTTGTCAGCTGAACCCCTTCAACCTAAATTATTTGCCTCAAGTATCCCCTTGAGATTGTAACTAAATCAAACTTTTCAATAAATCTAGATAAATGCTACAGCAGCCCTCTGAACATGCTTCTTTTCACTTGGTAAAATATTAATATCAATACTGTTGTTTTTCTTATTCTTATTATGACATTGTTATTTATTAATAGGACTATTTAATTTGACATTGATGTTTCCATCACAATCCTGCGAACCCTCTGCTCACCATCACGAACCCCTAGGGGTTCCCGAACCCTGGTTGGGAGCCCCTGATCTAGTTAAATACCCAGCTGTATGGAAATGTAAGTTTCTTTGTATAACAGCATCAATTACACAATTAAACTGAATACCAACGTGAATGTGTTTTTCATTCGCCAAACACAACCTATAAAGTTACAAGCAACCCATAATTTATTGTCGATATATGTTGTGTTCATCCATTGATATTCAGTAGAGAGGTTGTAGCAGCGACAGGTAAGGTCAAAAAGTATTTTCGTTCAGAACCGGTCATTAATAACCCCTTTCTTCTTGGTGTGTCTTTGCTCACTTTCCTTGGTTTCACCCTCTAGTTGTAGAAGCCGGCACTCTCCTGGATACCAATTCCACAGAGGGGCAGCAGGGCCCCGGTCTGAGGTTGGACACCGTGCCCACACTTATGGAAATCAAGGATCCACCTCCCATGCAGTGCAGGACCAGACAGGATGGAGCGGCGCACCTTAGATTGCATCGGCATATTCACACGGGGAAGAGACCGCACTGCTGCACCCAGTGTGGGAAGAGCTTCAACTACTCGGGTGACCTCAAAGCACACTACCGCATTCACACGGGAGAGAGACCATATATCTGTGGCCAGTGTGGGAAGAGCTTCGGTCGTCTGGGAGTCCTGAAGGACCACCAGAAAATTCACACAGGGGAGAGACCCCACTCCTGCACTCAGTGTGGGAAGAGCTTCAGCCGCCTGGGAGTCCTGAAGGACCACCAGAAAATTCACACAGGGGAGAGGCCCCACTCCTGCACTCAGTGTGGGAAGAGCTTCAGTCATTTAAGCAACCTGCGAAGACACCAGCGCATTCATGTAGGAAGGCAAAATGCAGCTTCAGGTCATCACAGTGACTCCTAGTTCTTGGACAGGCTCAGTCTTTTCCTGCTCCCTGGCATGAGCACAAGAAATTCTGTCTGTGCCTTTCACTGATTGCAAAATCAAAAACCTAGAATTCAAATTAAACTACTCAACTGAGCTATTTGTTATTTATTTTGTGATCCCCCGAGGCTGTATAGATAAGATAAGATCACTTTATTGGTTATATACAATTGGAATCCATCTTTTTGCATACCCCAGCTTGCTCTTCATGGGACACACAGACAGGGAGAGAAGCTTGGGGTCAGAGCACAGGGTTAGCCATTGTACAGCACCCCTGGAGTAGTTGGGGTTAAGGGCCTTGCTCAGGGGCCCAAGAGAGTTGGATTCCTTTGCCAGCTGCAGGATTTGAACCGGCAACCTTCCAGCCACAGGTGGAGATTCTTAGCCACAGAGCCACCACTCTGCCTGTATTGAAAGTCTAGCATTCGTTGTGTGTCTCATATGATCAGTGCTATGATATTCTTAGTCAAGAGTCTGCCTGGGAGCACTAATTGGCACAGCTGTAACAGTCAATCCTTTTAAATCCCTTTGAAAGTTGGTGTCCTTTCCCATGCCAGCTTGAACTTGTTTGCAAAGAGCTTTAAAACATTTTGTCACTAGTGTTTTGGTTGTGGTGACATCACACCGGATTTTCTGAATACTTTGTAGAAGACATCTTAAAATCCAGCACTTGAATTATTTTGGTTTGCCGTGACAAAGATTGTATTAGTGGGTAAGAGTTTGTTTGGTGCATTGTTTAAAAGTTTCCATGCATGTTCTGTTGTGCTTGTCCCTTCTGCTCTGTGGGGTGCGCTAGCCTCTGCTCCACCCACCTGTCATTCAGTGCCTGTTGCCATGGACATCAATGTGACAGGAGACCTGGATCACCTGGAGACAATGTACTAACTTGCCTACTTCAGGTGGTTCAGGGATATTTAAGGGCTGCTCTGGCTCTGCTTAGGGCTCTGTCTGGACTGTGAGCCTCTCAAGTCTCTAGCCTTGTTCCCCTCCTGTTCTGAAAAGTTCTCTGGCTTGACTTGCTGCTTATTTCCCTCAACCTTGTTCCTGGATTTCCCTCTTGCTTAGTTTACATCTTCCTTGTAAGACCTGGATCGCCCGGACTTGTTGCAGAGCTATGACCTCTTCTCCAGTTTGACTACCTTTTGGATCGTCTCTGCTTCCAGGGGACTTCCAGGGCCACAGCACTGTGAGACAGCAATGCTAACCAGAGTGTCACTGTATTGCCCCATTACTGTTATAATGATGATGATATTTTGGGGTTGTTTTGCATTTAGAGGTCCCGTTGCCCTTGTTAACACAGGAAGAGACATGATGTCCAACACATACCAGGACATTCTGGCCAGTCACCAGGTTCCTTCTGCCTAAAAATTCAAGTTTGATCATGTGCACTCCAGCATGACAATGTTCTAAATTGACACACGAATTGACAAAGGAACAGCACAAAGAAGACATGATCTCAGCTGTCAATCTCAGTCTCCAGACCTTAATCCAGTTGAATTCAGAAACACTGTCCACTATGGAAATCAAGGGGTATGAAGGACCAAGAGCTGTTCTGGATGGAGGGATTGGTTTATTGTCCTCAGAAAAGCCAGAGGCCAGAGCCTCACAGCACTACAGGAGTGTGTCAGCATATGACCTGCCAGAGGAGGATTTACAAAACATTGCACAGTGTTGTGGCCTTGGGTTCCTGGGGTGCTATCTGTGTGGATTTTGTATGTTCTCTCTGTGTTCATGAGGGTTTCATTTAAGTTCTCTGGTTTCCTCCCATAGTCAAAACAGTTATGTTTTCTGGAATTGAATTCTAATCACATATGAATATATTCATTTGCTATGTGCAATGATATTAAAATTGCAATATAACATTTTCAGATTCTATAAGCAAGATACCTTATCCGATCTGAAAGTTCTCTGTGATGTGGCATTGTTTGTCCCTTTTTCATATTTCACTCAATTTGCAGGGCACAGTTTCTATTAAAATGAATCATTAGTGACAATAAATTTATATTAAAGAACATGAGTTTAAGTTGAAGTGCTTCCAATGTTTGTAATGCAATTGTCCAATAAGCTTATTCTCTTCATTTTAGCTTAACAAAAACACCAACCGCATGATTGAAGACAGTCAATTTAAATATGTGTTCATACCAAAGGTCTTCAGCTTTGTGAAAAGCAACATATAGTCTATAGGGTTTGGAGGACGTGTGCATTGTGTCTTAGCTGTGCTGATATGAGGATGAATAGCAGTGCTTCTAATGGATTTTAACTGATGACCTTGACTTGTGTCTTTTCAGAAGGAATATCCTTGTTCAAAGAATCTGAGACAGTTTCTTTAAAGTTACTTAAAGTTAGTCATATAGTAACTTCGTCTACAAACTGTTCACATAAACCGCGTCAAGATAATTATCGCATTCTGTCTTAATTGCCAATGTCTTTAATGGTTGAGGCTCCATATCCCTGAGGCAGTTCATCGAGGAATGTGAAAGATTTTCCCTTTTTACTTACCATTTTTTTAACATTTTATAATGTGAGTTTTAAGCCCAGAGAGTATTCTGTAAGCTAACTCTGAATCAGAATTGTTAGCAAGAGGTGCTTCTTGTGGGGTTGTGGGAGTGTGGAACATGCTCCCCAGCCATATTGTTGAAGCCAGTTCCCTGGGTTCTTTCAGGAAAAGGCTGAATGGAATCCTTAGATCTTGGCTATTAGTAATAACATACACTAAATAGACCGAAAGGCCTTTTATGGTTTATAATTTCCTTGTGTAACATACCTGTGGTCAATGGGTCTATAGTGATCACAGAGCTTGTGATCGCGACAGGTCTGTCTTATACAGCCTGAATGAACATGGAAGAGCTGTGTGTGTCTGCAACAGCTTCCTCAGTGTCCTTTACCTTGAAAAAGCCAGTCCTCTGAGATTAACAATCCTTTTCATTTATCATACAGTCCTGTGGGTTTGTATCTGAAGAGTTCCCTTGTTTATTTTTACGAGATACACCTAAGTTTAAACACGCTTTCTTCATTTGATGCATTCCATGGCTGAAGTTTGGTAGCTTTATGTTTTTATGTCTCGACAGTTATCCGATGTTAAATACTGACTGAATACTGTAGTATACCCCCCTGCTATCTTTTTTTGTTGTTGCTGGCAATGCTCGCCATGTGCTTCACTTTCAGATTCATGATGCAGTCAATACACGAGTGCGAGGAGTACGTTCATCTGTCTTTTATTCTGCATGCAGTCAGCAGAGAAGCGACCTTGAGACCATGTGTGTGCGAGTGTGGAGCCATCTGCCTTTCCTCTGTTAGTCAGCTCAGTCAGGCCCCAGGATGTCCAGGGAGTGGGTCACCAATTTCAGAACGGCAGTTAATGAACATCTGCTCAAGGACAGGGTGGCAATTTGGAGGTTAGTGCTGTTTCACGTTCACAGCTCTTGAGTCCTGGGTTTGATTTTAGAACGGCACTCCTTCGGTGATGAGTTTGCGCGTCCTCTGCATTTTGGCATTGTTTGTTTTTCTTCTGGGGTGCACAGAGGTGTGTCTGACCAGGACAGTTCAATTCAATACTTTATTGCCTTGTTGGCAAAGGTGACGGGAATTTGCCCTAATGCAGCCTAGATAGAAACAACAAAAACAACAGAACACATAATTAGGCTCACACAGTTAGATTCAGGCTCCCCAGCACTAAGGATAAACTGGTGAATGAATACTGATAGATGCTTCTGTGAAGTCTAGCGTACACTGGGACAGTGTGGAGAACTGGGTAAGCCTCTGGACTCATGACCCCCTGCAGACACTGCTGGTGTATCCTGGGTGAGGTGCTTGACCCCAGTAGCTCCAGTCCACCCAGTGGTATAAGTGAGGACCAGTGTTCACTGAGTGGTCATCCCTGAAATGGAGTGATGTCCTGTCCAGTGGGGGGCATCGTCTGCTCTCTGATCGCTTCACTCCACTGACACCAGGATGAACTCTGGCACAACAGACTCTTGTGCCAGTGTGTTCTGTTTGCCTTTGCCCTGTCCACAGTGCTCTGTCTGAAGTTCTCTGACACCGTGGCACCCTTTCAAAAAGCCAGACCATTTATTTAGGAGGAGATGGAAGGGAGTTGGAGGATCCGGTGAAAAGTCACGCAAACTCCACACAGACAGGCCCACAAAGCCTGAATCAGCATAAGACCCTGGAGCCAAAATGACAGCCACATCACCTCCACATCCACTTTCTGTTAACTGAGCTTGATGTGAAGACATGTTTTCTCCAGGCTGGGCTCTGTTAGATGTGCATGATTGGCAAAGGTTGAGTCAAGCACTCAAAATTCTCCAGCTACTGACTAAATCAGCCTGGGGATCCACATATGACTAACCACCTAATAATAATAATTCCTTACACTTATATTGCACGTTTCTGGGCACTCCACTCAAAGTGCTTTACAGGTAATGGGGATCCCCTCCACCACCACCAGTGTGCAGCCCCACCTGGATGATGTGACAGCAGCCACAGTGCG